AAGATGGAAAGCAAAACGCATAGTGTACATGTTGGCCAAGAACGTATGTTCGCTTTTGCATAGGATTACCGTATCTAAAGCTTATTTGAAAGCAGAAGTACACACCAATAAAAGAGCGCAGATACCAGTATTTGAAACACTATTCAGTGCGCATGAACACTACTTTCACAGAATCAGCGGCGTCGAGAACGAACTTTCTTTACTCTTTGGACCTGTTTTGTACGTTCTTATACTAACGCACGCAACGTGCAAACCCCAATAACAAAACTAATGGTCCGCTACTGACTCGTCCATACTCTTCGCCCATTTTCGCGCTTCGCGCATTCATCCCTCCCACTCGATGTACTTCTGATTTCAAATAAGCTCTAGGTTACTAAGAAATCTCTGGTTAATTCACAACGCCTTTTAGTTAGAAAATTGTCAGAATATGAACGTTGCCAAATTTACGATCAACAAGTGGTGTTTCAATAGAAATGGCAAAGACTTTAGAGATCGTCAAAAATTAAGAAATTCTTGAGAATATTTTTGCAAAGAAAAAGAGGAGGTAGAATGTGCTTGAAGCAAAGAGAAGAAAATTTTCAAATATTTTCCTTTATGCTGTATGGAACATTTTATCAAGGCTACTGCACTCGCTCAGAACAAACCCAATATTCACAGAGAGCCCCACAAACAAAATAATTAACCTAAAAATAAAAGTATTAGTAAGACATCACCAATATCGCGAGATAATACATTTTGAAAGACGCCATTTTAATTAAGAAGTGAGGAACCACTTCAAAACGGGATCTATTTATACTCAGATATAATCAGGATTTATGTTGACACTCATTCATAATTCATGAAGATTTCAAGTGTGCTTTTTATTCGATGTTTCAATACCTATCGTTTTATTGCATATGCGTAGAGCTAAACGCATTTGTTGTGAGATTTTTATAATTGTTTTTTGTGTGGTTGATAAAAATTATCTAATCCAAATTTTACTTTGCGTTGTGATGCAATTACTCAGCCCAATTTTCATTAAACGGTCTTTACGTGCTAAGAGAAGTCGATTATAACCCCCATAAAAAAAATTCAATACCAATTATTTTTTACTCTTTCTTCCTTTCTTTTCTTATCATTGTGTCATTAAATATTCAACTAAATGTATGATGATATCAGAGACAGTACTTAAGAGTCTTATATAATAAAAAAACAAACACTCTTAAAACACCAGATTAACGTCAACCAGATACTTCCGATCATAAGGATTCTGATTTAATTTTGGACGCAAGTGACAATAAAGGCATCAGGATTCAACCTTATAACAGTTCTGAAAGATATTAGCAACTCAGGATTAAACCCGCTAGTGGGACTGGATTGTTTAACATCATCTGTACGTACACAGAGTTCACAGAGTAAGTTGAATTTCTCCCAGTTCACTTAATCAAGCAGTACTTTTACAGGAGGGCACTGGGTTATCTTCACCTAGGTGAGCATGGCTACGACAATGAAGTCAATTTTACTTTGATTTGGTTTGAAAGCAGCGTCTATCAAGAATTTTTTGTCAATGGTGATGGCACTAGTATGAACGGTGGTTTCTATAATTACGATATAATGGTCGACCAGAACCCATTCTACGCTGGAAATGTTGTCTACATAGCATCTGGTGAGAATTTTGGAAAAGATTAACAATTCGAGTTTTACTAATGGATGTACCTTTATAGTGGACATAATGCATTTAAATACAGAAGTTGTATTAAGTATATTTATATTTTATATTTTAAATTCTGTATAAATGTAACATTGTTTTGTTAGGTTAGAGTTAAGTTCATATATACACAACATACAAGTATACAAGGATAACATAGAATATGACGAACACTTTAATAGGTTGATGAAGGTAAATCTTCCCATATTTTAAATTCCTGGTTTATGCTTCCGTTATTTTGAGAAACAATAAGCGGAGTTCCATATTTAAGATGTCCATTTTCAACATGTCGATATCTGAGGGTAAGAGCCAAGTGGGTATCTGCATTAACAATACGATTATCATGTGTCAAGTACCACAACTGCCTAAGAGACCCATTTCTTGAGCTCATGATAACGGATTTAGTTCTTCTATTAAAGTCCATTACTTCCCTGAATAGTTTAAGCAATGTTATTGAAAATGTGTAGATACTTTATGTCAGATATTACCCTGTTGGTTCACTAACTAGGTAGAATGACAATCCATTTTCGCGGCTGTGCTGAATATGAAAGAGCGAGTAAGCTTTTCCGTGACTGTATATTTGCAACTGAACTTGTGATGAATCACGAGTATGTAGAGCCACAGTTTTATCATGCACGGGACGAATCGTATAAACTTTGTTTGGGTCATAATGGGTATGGGTGGCCATTATTGCAACAATATTTATTGCAACAATGAGGGAAAGCAAATACATCGAGAAGCTAAAATTAGAATGTTTTATGAAGAAAATTAAAAAATATGTATTTTGAAACTTACCTTTTAGGTGCCATTTTTGATGCGTTCTTAGAAGTGTATTCGGTACAATACTGCTGGAGTTTTTCTGTGGTGGGTTTATATACGAACAGATTAATCTTGGTCAATGCCATCAGTGGATTTATAAAGATTTTGTGACACTGGATTCATTTTATGACCCAAAGCCGAAACTGGATTACAATTTTTATCCAAATTGTAGAACAGGTTATGAGAACGCCTTGAAAAAATCTCCAGAAACTTGAAACAATGGCTGTATAAACTTCTTAAGTTATTCCATGTTCAAAAAATCTTTTTCAATTGAAGTACATGGTACTAATGTGATTCGGTACTACTTTCTGGTACTCGAAAACAAAAGTTTGATCACCAAGATCTCGATCTTCTTAATAATATCTATATAACCCCGTACTTAATCAGTTACAAACAAATTTTGTGTAGGTGATTCGATTATTATAATCCTGTCGAGTGGTAATTTTATCAATGCCTACTATTTGCTACCTTTTTAACTAATCGCCTCCATAAATATTTGACGTAATAAATTCAACGTTCGTAATTTTTCACCATGAGGTCGCAATCAAGATAACACAATGTTGATTAATGGCATATTTTTATTTTATGAAAACTCAAACTAGAAATATTTGTAAAAGATGAAGAATTCTTGCCTGTGGAACATAATTACAGAAACATTTCTCCACTTGGAAAATAAAGTTCGAAGAAAAAGCGATCTAATGTGAGATTATGAAGTTTGTCGGAGAAAGAAGTCATTTGGAAGCGAGATGTTTTTGGTAAGCTTTTAAAAAAATTGTAACAAGGTTTTAGAGTATTTCATTAGAAGAAGTGCTATCTTAGAGGACTAGAATCAGACAAAACAGATTCGCTATAAACAGAGCAATATGAACTAGAAGTTTCCTCAAAATTACACAACATTTGGAAATTGAATCAACTTATTAGAATAATCTTCCAGAAGAAATGAAGAAATATTTAAAAATAATAACTGAAGCTGACTAAAGACGTACGTTCGAAGTTCTAGAAATTTTCGCCACAAAAATCATCGAAAGAAGCCAGAAAGAATCAAGAAGTTTAAAAAAAAAACAGGAAAACAATTTTCGATGCAACAGGCAACTACAATATATTGTCTTTGCCATTTCTACTGAAACACCACCTGTTGATTTTGCTTAAAATTTAGCAATTGGTGACAGCTTTCGGTTAATTCACAACGCCTTTTAGTTAGAAAATTGTCAGAATATGAACGTTGCCAAATTTACGATCAACAAGTGGTGTTTCAATAGAAATGGCAAAGACTTTAGAGATCGTCAAAAATTAAGAAATTCTTGAGAATATTTTTGCAAAGAAAAAGATTAGGTAGAATGTGCTTGAAGCAAAGCGAAGAAAATTTTTAAATATTTTCCTTTATGCTGTTTGGAACATTTTATCAAGGCTACTGCACTCGCTCAGAACAAACCCAATATACATAGAGCCTCACAAACAAAATAATTAACCTAAAAATAAAAGTATTAGTAAGACATCACCAATATCGCGAGATAATACATTTTGAAAGACGCCATTTTAATTAAGAAGTGAGGAACCACTTCAAAACGGGATCTATTTATACTCAGATATAATCAGGATTTATGTTGACACTCATTCATAATTCCTGAAGATTTCAAGTGTGTTTTTTATTCGATGTTTCAATACCTATCGTTTTATTGCATATGCGTAGAGCTAAACGCATTTGTTGTGAGATTTTTATAATTGTTTTTTGTGTGGTTGGTAAAAGTTATCTAATCCAAATTTTACTTTGCGTTATGATGCAATTACTCAGCCCAGTTTTCATTAAACGGTCTCTACGTGCTAAGAGAAGTCGATTATAACCCCCATAAAAAAAATTCAATACCAATTATTTTTTACTCTTTCTTCCTTTCTTTTCTTATCATTGTGTCATTAAATATTCAACTAAATGTATGATGATATCAGAGACAGTACTTAAGAGTCTTATATAATAAAAAAACAAACACTCTTTAAACACCAGATTAACGTCAACCAGATACTTCCGATCATAAGGATTCTGATTTAATTTTAGACGCAAATGACAATAAAGGCATCAGGATTCAATCTTATAACAATTCTGCAAGATATCAGCAACTCAGGATAAAACCCGCTAGTGGGACTGGATTGTTTAACATCATCTGTACCTACACAGAGTTCACAGAGTAAGTTGAATTTCTCCCAGTTCACTTAATCAAGCGGTACTTTTACAGGAGGGCACTGGGTTATCTTCAGCTAGGTGAGCATGACTACGACAATGAAGTCAATTTTACTTTGATTTGGTTTGAAAGCAGCGTCTATGGTGATGGCACTAGTATGAACGGTGGTTTCTATAATTACGATATAATGGTCAACCAGAACCCATTCTACGCAGGAAATGTTGTCTACATAGCATCTGGTGAGAATTTTGGAAAAGATCAACAATTCGAGTTTTACTAATGGATGTACCTTTATAGTGGACATAATGCATTTAAATACAGAAGTTGTATTAAGTATATTTAGGTATATTTTATATTTTAAATTCTGTATAAATGTAACATTGTTTTGTTAGGTTAGAGTTAAGTTCATATATACACAACATACAAGTATACAAGGATAACATAGAATATGACGAACACTTTAATAGGTTGATGAAGGTAAATCTTCCCATATTTTAAATTCCTGGTTTATGCTTCCGTTATTTTGAGAAACAATAAGCGGAGTTCCATATTTAAGATGTCCATTTTCAACATGTCGATATCTGAGGGTAAGAGCCAAGTGGGTATCTGCATTAACAATACGATTATCATGTGTCAAGTACCACAACTGCCTAAGAGACCCATTTCTTGAGCTCATGATAACGGATTTAGTTCTTCTATTAAAGTCCATTACTTCCCTGAATAGTTTAAGCAATGTTATTGAAAATGTGTAGATACTTTATGTCAGATATTACCCTGTTGGTTCACTAACTAGGTAGAATGACAATCCATTTTCGCGGCTGTGCTGAATATGAAAGAGCGAGTAAGCTTTTCCGTGACTGTATATTTGCAACTGAACTTGTGATGAATCACGAGTATGTAGAGCCACAGTTTTATCATGCAGGGGACGAATGGTATAAACTTTGTTTGGGTCATAATGGGTGTGGGTGGCCATTATTGCAACAATATTTATTGCAACAATGAGGGAAAGCAAATACATCGAGAAGCTAAAATTAGAACGTTTTATAAAGAAAATTAAAAAATGTCTGTTTTTAAACTTACCTTTTAGGTGCCATTTTTGTTGAGTTCTTAGAAGTGTATTCGGTACAATACTGCTAGAATCTTTCTGTGGTGGGTTTATATACGAACAGATTAATCTTGGTCAATGCCATCAGTGGATTTTTAAAGATTTTGTGACACTGGATTAATTTTATGACCCAAAGCCGAAACTGGATTACAATTTTTATCCAAATTTTAGAACAGGTTATGAGAACGCCTTGAAAAATCTCCAGGAACTAGAAACAAGGGGTGTATAGATTTGATAAGTTATTCCATGTTCAAAAAATCTTTTTCAATTGAAAGTACATGGCACTAATGTGATTCGGTACTGTTGCTCGAAAACAATAAGTTTGATCACAAAGATCTCTATCTTCTTAATAATATCTATTTAACCCCGTTCTTAATCATTTACAAACAATTTTTGTGTAGGTGATTTGATTATAATCCTGTCGAGTGATAATTTTATCAATGCCACTATTATTTACTACCTTTTTAACTAATCTCCTGCATAAATATTTGACCTAATAAATTCAATTTTCAAAATCAACACAATCAAGATAACACAGTATTGATTAACTAGAAATAATATTTGTAAAAGATGAAAAATAAAAATTCTTGCCTGTGGAACACAGTTACCCAAGCAGCAGACTGTCGTCTAATTCACGTCAGTTTTTGATCATAAGTCGTCGGCGACGTCATTCGCCCAAAAAATCACGTGATAATGACGAGATTTTTATGACTTACTTCTGACGTCAATTAATGACGTCAAAAGGCCGTCCTTTCTTGGTCATTTTTTTATAGATTATATAGTCAATTAGATGTGGATCGTCGTATTGTTTAAAAAGTGGCCTCCATAATGCTTAATTATCTTTAAGAGCAAAAAAAAACAACGGCTTTATTAGAAATACACCAAAGACAAGTTTTTTCATCTAATAATTTCTAATAAAATAATTATTATTTATTTCTGAAAACTTGTTTATACTCTGGAAGTGTTATTTTGTAAGTACCTGCTTGGCAAATTATAAATAGAACATCCGGTGTTGAGCGTATAATAGTGAAAAGACCCCACAACACAAACAAAGTTGTGGCGTTGCTGTGATGTTAATGTAGGCAACACAACGCACACGTACTACTTCCTCTCGCCTACGAGTAGGCAACTCAATATGCTCACCGAACACCACTCGTGATTGGTTAGCCTGGCGCCGACGCAGAGACCAACTGGGGACACAAGGAGGCGCGAGTACGGCAAGTACTCTCTTCTGCCGCCGACATCGAAACGAAGAAGATGGGTACCGTCTCCTGTTCCACGTGTAAGATATCCGTTTGTAAATAAACTATAGAGAAACCCTACCTGGTGTTAGTCATTTCCACATTGGTGACCCCGGAAAGAAAATAGGAAGAGCTAGCACCATGGAAGAAATGCAAAAGAAACTGCAGGAACAACAAGAAATAATTTGCCAGTTCCAGACACAACTGGCTACCATCTCCAACAAACAAGCCCTTGATGAGGTAAGAAGTGGTTCAAATCTGAAGCTACCGACATTCTGGCAGCGAGACCCGGTGCTTTGGTTTGCACAAGTCGAAGCCCAATTTAATTGCGCGAGAATCAGGTCCGACCAGACCAAGTACTGGACCGTGGTAACCGCCTTAGACTGCGCGACGCTCCAGCCGGTTGCCGATTTGGTCGCCAACCCCCCAACAGAAGAGACAAAGTACGAAAGCATAAAATCCAGATTGATCGCCGCCTATGCAGACACCCCCGAAAAACGACTACGGAAGCTCATGTACGAAATAGAGTTAGAGGACAAGCAGCCGTCACAACTACTAAGAGAAATGGAAGCCCTAGCGGGTAAGGGGATCAGCGGTGACGTCCTCAAGACTCTGTGGTTGCAGCGTTTACCCCCACAACTACAGATGATCCTCGCCGCAAATGATAAAGAAACGCTGGACAAAATGGCGACCATAGCGGACAAATTGACCGAAATCCACCATACCAGCGCCATCACAGCAAATATTGGTGCCCTAAATCGCGGTACCTCCGCGCACGCCTCTCAAACCGTTACATCGGCGCAAGAAGATGGAATGGCTGCCGCCATTACGGCACTGCAGAAGCAGTTCGTAACTTTATCGACCACAGTAAACCAACTCGCAGACGACAGAAGGCGCCATGGGCAAGGCGAAAACTGGAATCGCGCCAAATTTAGGTCAAGGTCGAATCCGCAGGACGATAATATCTGCTATTATCACAATCGGTTCGGAGCAAACGCCAGAAGATGCGCCAAACCCTGTGACTACAAAAGGCCGTTAAACTAGAGGCGCCGTCGACGATTGAGGTGGTCCACGACGCAGCGCAAACACAACGCCTCTTCATCACCGACCCAAAATCAGGTACCCGATATTTAATCGACACGGGGGCAGAAGTTTCCGTGTTACCCAAGAGATTGTTCTCAGGCAGACAACATCTCAGCCCAGCTGAGACAACGCTCTTCGCGGCCAACGACAGCGCGATCAGAACATACGGCCAAAAGCTAATGTTCCTTGATCTCAAGCTGAAACGTCCGTTCAAGTGGGTATTTATAGTGGCAGACGTAGGCAAACCCATCATCGGAGCAGACTTCCTGAGGCATCACAACCTCCTACCTGATCTCCGCAACCGACGCCTCGTAGACGCAGCCACCCTCTTATCAACTCGCGGAACCCTGGCTATATGCAAGTCGCCTCAGATCACGACAGTGGCCAAGACGACGCCATATCACGCACTGCTAGCGGATTTCGCAGAAATTACACGCCCACCGCCACCTGGAACGAAGCACAGGGGCAACGTGTTCCACCACATCATCACCAGAGGTCCCCCGGTCGCAGAAGCTCCTCGCAGGCTTGCACCCGAGAAGTTGAGAGTGGCGAAAGCCGAATTCCAATATATGATGGAACAGGGCTGGTGCCGACCATCCAAGAGCCCTTGGGCTAGTCCGCTTCACCTTGTCCCAAAGAAACTCCCTGGTGAATCGCGTCCATGTGGCGACTATAGGCGCCTAAACAACGTGACAGTGCCTGACAGCTACCCCATCCCTCATATACAGGACTTCACCTACAGACTCGAAGGTAAAAGTGTGTTCTCCACCATAGACCTAGTGCGCGCATACCATCAAATTCCCGTGGCTGAAGAAGACGTTCCTAAAACAGCCGTGTGCACTCCGTTCGGGCTCTTCGAGTTTACAGTTATGACGTTCGGACTACGTAATGCCGCACAGACTTTCCAAAGACACCTGAACTCTCTAATAAGTGACCTTGATTTCTGCTACGTGTATATAGACGACATCTTAGTGTTCTCCCGAGATGAAGCAGAGCACGTCGAACATCTAAAAATGTTATTTTCTAGGTTACGGGAGCATCACATAGTGATTAACCCGACCAAGTGCGTGTTTGGTGAAGCCGAAGTGAAATATTTAGGACATACGATTTCCGGGAGTGGAACCAAACCACTTGAGACGTCGGTCAGTGCAATCCGCGAATTCCCCAAACCAAAGACAGTTCAAGATCTGCGACGGTTCCTTGGCATGATCAACTTCTACCGACGTTTCATTCCCCACGCAGCCCAGACCCAAACACCACTTCACCAATATCTGAACAACGCGCGGAAGAATGACAAAACAATAGTCGAGTGGACAGAAGAAGCTGAAGCCGCTTTTGAAACGTGCAAGACAGAGTTAGCCAACGCCGCGCTTCTGGCACATCCCGCCGAAAATCTGCCGCTCAGAATTATCACCGATGCTTCTGATTACGCAATCGGGGGCGTACTAGAGCAGCACTCCAATGGGACCTGGCAACCTTTAGGTTTCTTCTCCAGAAAACTTAGCAAGGAGCAGCGCAACTACAGCGCATACGATCGTGAGCTGCTTGCAGTTTACGAAACCATAAAATTCTTCAGGCACATGGTGGAAGGCAGAGACTTTTGCATACTCACCGACCACAAACCCCTCATCTACGCGTTTCAGCAGAAAGCAGGCAAAGCATCCCCAAGACAAGTCAGGCAGCTAGATTTCATCGGCCAGTTTTCCACCAACATTATCCACATTTCAGGAGAACAAAACACAGTTGCAGACACACTTTCAAGGGTCAATGAAATCACAACTCCTACGTTCATTGACACCGACGACTTAGCCAAGGAACAAGAAAAAGACGCCGAACTAAAAGCACTTTTAAACTCTGATACAACAAGCCTGCGGTTAGAAAAACTCACCCCACAGGCCGGCCAGAAAGCTATCTGGTGTGACACGTCAACGGGGGTGGTTAGACCATACGTTCCACAAGATTCGAGAAAAGTAATTTTTGAAGGATTTCACAACCTCTCACACCCCAGCGGCCGAGCGACCAGTAAGCTCATCAAGAAGCGATTTGTGTGGCCATTTATGGAGAGTCACATTATGAAGTGGGCACGAAGCTGCATCCCTTGCCAGCGATCCAAAGTTGGCCGACACACCAAAGCCCCATTACAGCATTTCGATGACGTCACAGAACGGTTCCAACATGTGCACATCGATATAGTAGGTCCGCTACCTCCCTCTCAAAGCTACAGGTATTGCCTCACTATGTCTGACCGTTTCACCAGGTGGCCAGAGATCGCACCCATGACCGACATGACCGCAGAGACAGTCGCCAAGACATTCTACGAAACATGGATTTCAAGATTCGGTTGCCCAAGACAAATTACAACCGACCAAGGGCGACAATTTGAAGCATCCACCATGAATGCCTTGGCGAAAATTTTGGGCATTCAGCGCTCTCGGACGACGCCATATAGGCCCCAGAGCAACGGCCTTATCGAGAGATGGCATCGAACCATGAAGGCAGCCATCATGTGCCATGAAGCAGAAAGTTGGCTAGACGTTCTACCTACAGTATTATTAGGGTTACGTACAGCCATCAAAGAAGACATCGGTCACTCACCAGCAGAGCTGACCTACGGAACGCAACTGAAAGTCCCAGGCGAATTCTTTTTCAGCAATATCGACAGATCCGTAGAACCCACTACCTTTGTAGAAAAACTACGGGACCACATGAGGAAACTTCGCCCAACTCCAGCGTCGCACCACATTAGGCAAAGCACCTTCGTCCACACAGAGCTCAGTAAATGTAGCCATGTTTTCCTAAGAGACGACACCGTGCGAAGACCGCTCCAACAGCCCTACACCGGTCCACACCTTGTTCTGTCTCGTACTGCTAAGACAATAAAGGTCAATGTAGGCGGTAGGGAAACAACAGTGAATATCGACAGAGTAAAACCCGCTTTTATTCTCCAAGAACCAGAACCACCACCGGCTCCATCCCCAGTACGAACACAGGAAGTTACTCAAACCACCAGGTCAGGCCGCAGGTCAACGCTCCCCGCACGTTTCAGAGAATGACAACTGACAGCCGTTTTGACAGCTGTCACCCGTTACTTGGGGGGGGGTATGTGGCGTTGCTGTGATGTTAATGTAGGCAACACAACGCACACGTACTACTTCCTCTCGCCTACGAGTAGGCAACTCAATATGCTCACCGAACACCACTCGTGATTGGTTAGCCTGGCGCCGACGCAGAGACCAACTGGGGACACAAGGAGGCGCGAGTACGGCAAGTACTCTCTTCTGCCGCCGACATCGAAACGAAGAAGATGGGTACCGTCTCCTGTTCCACGTGTAAGATATCCGTTTGTAAATAAACTATAGAGAAACCCTACCTGGTGTTAGTCATTTCCACAAAGTCATAAAAATTCTTTGTCCATTGTCCCTAAAACGGGACAAGGTTTTGAAGAATTCCTTCGTCGAATTTTGATTTTATAAAGACGTTTATAAAGTGATGATGGTTACCAAAAAAATTAGAGAGTGATTTAATATTTAGTTTTATTAAATTTATTTCATCTAATGAAAAAATAATGCTCAACTTCCGTATTTACCATACAATACATCAGATGTTTGAGGCGTGCATTCGGACTTTCCCTTTTTTCGGTATTTATGTTTATTGCACTTCACAGTGAAGCATCCCAATATTTCCAGTTGGTTGGTTGGTTCTCAACTGCCGAAACTTTCTCGTGTATCCGTTACTCACTTCATTTTTAACGCAGTTTTGTGAAAATTTCTGTACAGTGTGGGTTATACTTATTTACACTAGGTAAGTTAATATCTAATAAAGTAATCATTTTAATTTTTACATGTTTCTGTTATTTTTGATAACAGTACGTACATAACAAAAGCAGTTTTTTTAAGAAAGACCACCATTAATCACTCCCACTGATTATGAAGAACTTACGGTGATTGTTTTTGAAAATGAGGTGCCATAAAAAAAAAGGTATATTACTGCAATTATTTATGTACTAATGCTAATGAACATAGTTTTATTCTAGATTTGAAACAAATACAAAACACATGTGCGAAACGAAAGAAATGCTAAAGGAAACGAGTGAAAAAATCTCCAACATGGAAACGTCATCAAATCTGACAACTGAAAAAGAAAACAAAAATAGAAGTTATGCCGCCAAGACCACACCTAAACAAATTTTGACGAATTACAAGATTATCTTTGCCTATTAGAATAAGCAGATTTCTTTGTAAGTTAAAAAAATACAATGAATTCATACATACATATAACATAATTGTTCCGGCTCGAGGGACCAATGTTCCAGCTTGAAGTGCCAATGTTTCGTACAATCCGAATCGTAGTACCAACGTTTTTTGTAATCCGGTTGATACGACCATGTATGGTCTTCCGAATTGTACCTTGACATTGCTCGAAGGACCTTTGTTTGTTATAATTGAAATAATGGACAGCGTTCGGTTTTGATGTTTAATATAGGTAGGACGGTTACAGAAGTATTCTATCCTCAAACATATTTGGCGTTTATGACTTCACACCAATTTGACTCCCATTATAATTCAATAGGCCGTCACAACCGGATGTCTTAAACCCGCTCACCGATACCTACCTGAAAATACCTTTTCTGGTAAAAGCACAGGGCAGGACTGAGTTTTGCATTTACCGACAACTGCGCCTTTCGAGTTTTTTATTTTAAGTAAAAACAAAGTAACTTTGTACTCAATCATTTTTTATTACAGCACAACTATTTACTTATTAACTACTACTACTTATTTATTGATCGAAATAGTCACTGTCATCGTCACTCGACTCTTCTAAATTAATAATTAACGGTGTTATCAACCGTGCCCTGTACTGGTCTTCTTCTTTTGTGGAATGTCGTACACAATTGGCCCACATTTCGGCAGTTGTTTTGGAAGCTTCTTCCCTAATTATGTCAATTGTTGCACTACTAAATTTTGGTGCCGTATTATTCCTTCTTATATTATTTTTCATTTGCGACCAGATTAGTTCGATGGGGTTAAATATACAATGGTACCGCGGAAGTCTAATCACCCTAAATCCACGATCTCGCGCCATAGCATCTATTTTATATTGTTTCTCAAATTTTCGAGTGTGTAACACTTCTAATAATTGTGTCTTTGTGTAATTTTCTTCAAAGTATAAATCATGTTCTGTAAGGAAATTTTGAAATTTGAAAATTTTAACAAACAAAATTACTCTGAGTCCGGTCCTTCGCGTCTCGACCGTCCTTAGCACGTCGAAAAGGTCTTTTCAGGTAGGTATCGGTGAGCGGGTTTAAGACATCCGGTTGTGACGGCCTATTGAATTATAATGGGAGTCAAATTGGTGTGAAGTCATAAACGCCAAATATGTTTGAGGATAGTATACTAAAATTACAGTGCTATTTACAAAATCAGGTAAAGATACCCAAAAGGGTCAGTGGCCGCTTCCGGAAATGCAAGACATAATATTGGATACTATATGCAGGTAGATGCCTGTAATACTACGATATTTTTGATAACTTACTATACATGGCACATTTCGCTTCATTGTAAAAAGTATTGACAACGAGATTTTCCTGATAGGCTATACGTTTTTGTCAATGCAACCATTTTACGATTATCCGTTAGATTCAAGTAAATTTAACATTTTTAAAATGCAGAATTTGTCTTCTGCTTTAAGCTGTAATCCCTTAAATTTAATAATTTGGCTATTATTGCCCATAGACGAAAAAATGATTGCATTTCCATTAATCCATGCACTCTAATGGGTTTTTCTTTTCAGTGCAATAAATTAAGGCAAACTTAAAAAAGTTAGGTTATTAATATGATTGTTAAAACAGAATTAATTCTTAACGGTACTTTTTTGTGTGTTGGGGACAGTCAAGTCGTCGTGAATTAGAAAGTTTTACAGTGTATTTTCAAAGCAAGTAACTTCAACAATGCGATTCAACTGTCTTTTCCCTTTATTCTAGTTTTTTTTTATATATTTGTTGTAAATAGATTTGTTTGTGTTTTTAAGACTGATTTATAGTTTATTATAGTTTTCTTTTAATATTCTTTGTAACTAAATAGATTTCTTTGTGTTTTTAAAACTGATTTTTCTTTAAATAGCATATTTTATTGCAACGTTTATTTTTGATTATATTATATTGTATATTATCCTTTTTTTTGTTTATAGTAATTTGACTCGTAATTACCTGTATGTAGATTTGTTTGTGTTCTTAAAAGTAGTTTATCATTAATTTGTTTAATTGACATATATTTTTTTATTTGTTTATTGAAGTTCATTGTTGGTTGTACAGAATTGTAGTAAATTTAATTTTTTTACACTAATTTGTTTTAACTTTAATTAATACATATTTTGTTTTAGGGTTTACCTGGTGATTATAACGAATTATAATATTTTATTTAAGGTAAATAACATAAAAATATAAAAGTATTTCAGCGTTTTATTTATTGCATTTTTTTTCTAAAAATCAAAATATAAAAAACGTCTTAAAATGGACAATAAATGCCGTCTATAAGACGTCAGTACATCACGTCAATAGTTCGTTAGAAAATGACGTCATCTGGACGAAACATTTGACCGTCATTGGTACTTCAATATCACGTGAAATCTTTGGTCACTATGACGTAATTGATGACCATTTATTTACGTGAAAAAGACGACATCATGTTGCCTGGGTACCGAAAAATTTCTCTACTTTAGTCGGCTTTTAGGAAAATTCTTCATTATCTCTAGGATATAATTAAATTTAGAAAAAGAAAACGACTTCAAGAGTACTTCATTAAGAAGAAATGCACTCCTAGCGTACCATAATCATAAAAACCAGATTCGCTATCGACAAAGAAATAAGAACTAGAAGTTTCCGCAAAATTCTACAACTTGTAGAAATTGAATCAACTTATTAGAAGAATCATCGAGAAGAAACGAAGGAATATTAAAAAATAATAACCCAAGCTGACTAAAGACGTACGTTCGAAATTTTTTAAATTTTCCTCACAAAAATCATCAAAAGAAGCCAGAAAGAATGAAGAAGTTTTAGAAAAAAAAACCCGGAAAACAATTTCCAATACAACATGCAACCACAGTACAAAGATCGTCAAAAATTAAGAAATGCTTCAGAATATTTTTGAAAATAAAAAGACAAGGTAGAATGTGTTTGAAGCAAAGTAGAGAAAATTGTCAAATGCTATTGTCTCATTGAAACTGAGAAGATATTGTATTCAAAAGCAGTGGTATTAATTGATGGTTTTGATAGCATGTTTACCATATTTAAAAGTTGAACTTAATGCTTTATACAATGTCAAAAACGTCTTATATAAAGACTTAAACCGTTATTGTTAATATTATTTATTTTTTATTTAAAAGAAGTTCGACAAAAACACAAAGCCAAGGACGTAAAAGTAAATTTTCGACATATGAGTACAAAAAAGTGACATTTCAAACGTAAAACGACTAGATTTGTAATAGTCGCCTAAATTAATATAACTTTTTTTTTTATTTATTTGTATTGATTAATCTACTACGTGAATGATATTACAAGTAAAAAATAAGTAAATAACGTGGACGAAAACTTAGGCCTTAAGACTCTCTTTGTAGTGTATAAATATCTGATTTATGTATCCAGTCTTCTGATAGACAATGAGAGGAGCTCCGACTTCATAACGTCCACCTTTGACATCGAGGACCAAATTCTGAGCTGAATTAACAATGTGACCATCATCTTCCAAGTACCACAACTGCCACGGAGACGTAGTTCTTGGACCCACGATAACCGAGTGTGGATAAGTATTTCTATTAACGTCCAGTACTTCTCTAAATTGTTTATATCAATCAGTACTATTAAGAATGTGTATTTGACGCTAAATATTACCCTGTAGGTTCCACAACTAAGTAGAATAGGCCAGGCTGGGAGCTGTACTCAAAATGGAAAAGCTCATAAGCTTTTCTCTGACGATATTCTTGCAACGTAACTTGTGATGAAACACCAGTATATAGCGCAAAGTTTTCACGACCGGGCTGGGCGGGGCGAATCGTATAAACATTGTCTGGATCATAGTGGGCCGTTATTGCAAAAATATTGATTGCAATAAGGAGGGCAAACACGTACATCGATACGCTAAAATTGGTTATTTCATGATGAAAGTCTAAAAACATGTAGTTTAAAACTTACCCTTTTGGTGCCATTTCTGAACTAAACTGTGCATTTTTTTCTGTGGTGGGCTTATATACCTGTGAATGAAACGACCCAAATAGTTGCTAATCTAAGTGTTCTTGACACCGTTAATCAGTGTGACAATTTTGAAAGATTTTGTGATATGGGATTAAATTTGTGAATCAAAACTAAAGCTGGATTATAATTTTTAATCAGACTATAGACCGATAATTCAATATTAGTGATTAACGTATCAACTATATCTTGAAAATGGATCAAGGGATTGAAACAACAGGTGATGATTTCATTAAAAATAATAATAACTAATAATTTAATTAACGTAAAGTTTTTACTTTTCAAGAGTATAGAACTGGTGTAAAGAGTGAACAAATTTAACTCATCATTTCTTATCCATGAAAACTTGTACAATTTCCCATTCCTGATTTATATCTCCGGTATCTGGATATACCCCAACCCCATTTCCTGGTTCAAAGGTACCATATGTAACATCCAAGTTATACAGTATGGCCGCATTAACAATGCGTCCGTTGCCATTCAGAAACCACTCCTGCCAATACTCTTCGCTTACATTGTCCAGAATAAGTGGAGAAAGTTTGTCACCATACGGCAACACAGACAAAAACAATCTAAAGATTTTAAGATTATTAACACTTTTTCGTATTTGCGTTAACACATTACCCATGGCCATGGTTAAAAAAACGAAACAAGCCGGGCATGTGACCACAGTCAATTCTCCAAAGCTGACCTAATGATCCATCATATTCTTGAAGCTGAATCTCACTATTGTTAGTGGCACCCACGTACAAAGCTCTAGATTTAGTTCCAATAACATAAACACGGTCTAAAATACCGCAGTCAGTTTTGAGTGCTGCGATATTTAAGCAGATAATAACTGCAGCAAGGTAGAGCGAGCCCCTAAAATTTCCACATTATTTACAAAAAAAAAATTTTGTACTTACCCTTTGTACATATTCCAGCTGTGTTGAAAGGTATTTACCGAGTGACTATATACAACTTATTGACACTATTAATATAATCTGCTTTTATATAACACGTGAACACAAATGCGTTTTAAGATATTTTCAAAAAACAATTACCACTCACGCCAAGATTTGTATTTTTTTCGAAAACGTGTCATAAATCAAGATAATGCTCAGACTGAAATTTGTGCAGAGATAAGATCATTTAAACAAAGAGTTTTCTATAACTTTTTATTTTTTAAACAACAATCACCACTTAGACAAGATTTGGATTTTTGGAAAATTTTGACATGAATCAAGATAATGCTCTCAAATTTTAAACAAAAATTTGTTATCGTTAATATAAATACAGATTCGTTGGCAGCTTTTTTGAGTAAAGACTGAGTAGACATGGAACGTTTTCAGAGGTAAGTACACAAATATTAAAATTTCCTTTTTTTTTCGTTTTTCTACAGTAGGTCAATTTTTATTTATTTTCTCCTGTGGACGATAATACTGGCACAGGATTGCCACCTGGACAGAAGCTTCTACATTAAAGCCACAATCGCAGGTTTGACCCTTGATGGAAACACAACTGGTGTTCAAGTGACAAACTTTGATGGTCGTGCACGACAGCAGTGGACATTTGATTGTGGTGATCAACCGGGTTTCTTTTATATAGTAAATGCTTTTAATGGGTAATTCAACATTTAAATTTTAGCATCATTCTTCTATTTAAAATTTACAGATTAGTACTCGACGTTCTGGATTCGAGCTATGTCGTTTTGAGTGAAAGAAGTGACTCTGCAGCTCAGCAGTGGACTCTCAATTCGAACGGCAACATTTTTAATATAGGCCGAGGAGAGAATTTAGATATTTATGACGGCGATTTTATTTCTGGAAACCTTGTCTTAACTTCTCCAAGTACTGGATATCAGCAGCAAGTATGGACTCTCCAAGAAGTGTATTGAATTTAACATTTAATCACACTTTGAAACATTTTAGATTTTAGTTACTAGTCACAAAAGATAAATAAATGTATTATCGCACGCAAAAGTATTGTCCGTACCCAGCTACGACGGGTATTAAGCTCCTCCGCCTTCTCTCTCTGGGTTGCCATAATTCCCTAAACACTCAGGACTAAAATTTTCTTGCTTGATTCCAGAAATTAATTATACAGTACCTTCTTCAAGTAAAAACCGACAAACCATTATTTTTTGACAAAAATTAATATTTACATTTATCATGGATATATTTTAAATCGGAAGTGGTGTTTTTTATCAACCTGACTTAGTAGAAATCGAATAAACTAACGAATATTGCAAATTCGAAAATAAAACAAGACGAAACCTCGAAATGAAATATATAAAAATCATCTCTATTCCAATTTTGAGGCCTTTAAATACTTCGACTTCTAAATTTTTCGATTTTTCAACTTTTCATGTTTTTGATTTTTTACTTATTCGATTTTTCAAAATGTTGCGACTTTTTAAATCTTACATTTTTCTGTTTTTTAATTATTTGATTTGTTGATCTTTTGATTGCTCGATTTTTTAAATTTGCAGTTTTTCGAAATTTTAAATTTTAGATTTCACTTTTTTGCCTTATCGTTTTTAGATTTTTCGATTTTTCAATTTTTCGGAATTAATTTTTCAGTTTTTTGATATTTCGATTTTTCAATTTTCGATTTAACGGGTTTCTTTCGATTTTTCGTCTTTTCGTTTTTAGATGTTCCGGCTTTTCATTTTTTCGGAATTAATTTTTCAGTTTTTCGATGTTTCGATTTTTCACTTTTTGGTTTATCGCTTTTTTTAAGTTAAAATTCCTTCCATTTCTTAATTTTTCGATTTTTCGATTTCTCAATCTTTTGATGTTTCGATTTTGTGATTTTTTAATTTTTCTATTTCGATTTCTCGATTTCTTAGTTTTTTGATAATTCATGTTTCCGATATTTCCATTTTCCAAATTTTCAACGTTTCAGTTTTGGGATTTATGCAAGTACATATATAAATTTTACGATTTTTCAATTTTTGGCGTTTCCAAATTTTTGGAATTTTCGATTTCTTGATTAATGGATTTTTCATTTTTCGACTTTTCGATTTTTCGTCTTTGCGATTTCTCGATTTCTTAATTTTTCGATTTTCTAATTTTCGATGTTCAAGTTTCGGGATTTTTCAATATGTATTTCGATTTTTAAATGTTTGAATTTTTCGATTTTCTGTTTTTTCGATTTTTTACTTATTCGATTTTTAAAAATTTTGCGTTTCTTTAAAGCTTACACTTTTAGATTTTTCAATTTTTTTATTTTTCGATTCGTTGATGTTTTGATTTCTAGATTTTGTAAGTTTTCAATTTTTCAAATTTTTAAATTTTTAGATTTTTCACTTTCTTTTTGTTTCGATTTCTCAGTCTTTCGATTTATCGGATTTTTTAAGTATAAATTTTTCAATTTTGAATTTTTCCACTTTTCGATCCTTAGCTGATTCGATATCTCAATTTTTCGATTAATCAATTTTTTTAAGTTTGTTTAAGTTTTGGGTAATATCAATTTTGGTATTTTTCAAGATTTCGATTTTTAAGTTTTTAGATTTTTCGATTTTGTTTTTTTTTATTTTTTACTTACTCGATTTTTCAAAAGTTTGCGAGTTTTTAAATCTTACATTTTCATCTATTCGATATTTTAATTTTTGGATTTTTGGATTTTTTAGATTTTAAAATTCTTGATCTTTCAATTTTTCGGTTTTGACAATATATTGATTTCTCCATCAAAACATCACATATTTAAAAAAAGACGCTAGGAGCACCTAAGATTCTGTAAAATTCTTTCCAAATAAAGAACTCCACGGACCATCGAAATTTTCTAAAACTATTTTAAAAACAAAACACAAGAGGACCCGAAGATTTTTTTTTATATTAAAAAAAACACTAGGTGCCTGCAAGCCTTTCTCTTTTAAACGCAAAAAATTAAGTCTAAAGTTATTTAGACAGATCTTCCCTCGCCTCTGAAGTAAATATATTTACTTCAGAGGCGAGGATGCTTAACTTCAGTTGTTTATGTTTATACATCGGAAGAATGCAACAATTAAGCACGCAGCAAATTGTCGCCTCAAAACAGAGGAAGCGATTAAAATTATTAATTAAGTTACAATTTTTATTTTATCATTATTAAATACAGGCGGGCGCAACATTACTGTATTCTAAAATTTTCGAGTTACGGCATCCTCCACAAACCAGTGGTCGTATATTACTATAAACTGTAATGATCTAAAAACGAGAAGGCGAACAATCCAAAGAAAACCGTTAAATCGAAATATTGAAAAACTGAAAAATTAATTCCGAAAAATTGAAAAATCTAAAAACGAGAAGGCAAAACTCGAAGGATTGAGGAATGGAAACAACAAAAAAGTGAAAAATCTGAAATTTAAAAATTCGAAAAACTGAAAATTTAAAAAATCGAATATTTAAAAAACTGAAAAATCGAAAAATGTAAGATTGCAACATTTTAAAAGTAGAATAAGTAGAGAAGAATTGGAGTAGAATTAATTTTATTTTATTTATTTTCTTTTTAATATGAAACATTTAGGCAACCAGTTATACAGAGGTCTTTGTCATGCGTCCTTGGGCATTGAGTACAGTTAAATTTGAATGGCGGCACGTTTACATGACCTACTGTGACCCTATAATGATTTATAGAAACCCTGTACAACACAATTTCAAACTGAAGAAGGTACTGTGTAATCGATCTTTGTAATCAAGCAAGGAAACTTTAATCCTTGTCCATTTTATTCCACCTGAGTGGTTAGGGAATTACGGCAACCCGCAGAGAGAAGGCGGAGGAGCCAAAGGGTATTTACCGACAATACTTTTGCGTGCGATAGTACTTATACAGTATGTATTGTTTAACGTAATATTGGTTGCATACTTCCAATGCTTCGACCTGTTTTTTTTTAAATTAAACACAGAGCCTAATAAATAACACTACGTTCAGAGCATATTCGGAGATTAATTAAGATTTTTGCCTCATTATTAAATGAGCTACACAAATGCTAAACAGGGCCCAAACAAAATATATTGTACGCCCTTCGTGTTATTTCGTGCTTCCGATACAACAAACGTTAGAAGAAACCAGGCTTTGAATCTTCTAATGTCAAATAATACCTACACGAGTACGCATTTTAAATACACGATTAATTAATTTAATTCGATAGTAGACTGTTAACGTAATTGCCGATAAGTTAGGCAATAGATAATATAAAAAAGTTCCAGACATTTCATGACGTCATAGAATTTTCACTCGAAAACTACAAGAAAATGTATTTTGTTCATTTTCTAAAATGGTCGAAAATAAGTCGAAATTTGAAGAAGGGGTATCGAAAAAATTACACTTTTGAAAAAGTTGTCTAAAATCCACAAAAAATTCTGGACTATAGATCTCGACGTACTAATTCCAAGAATGTAGCATGTTTATGATCACGGGGAAATATTTTCGAAATATGTGGTTTAACATTAACATTTTTAAAAAATTCCAAAATTTGCCATTTTTCAATAGGCGGTTCTGGAAAAACGGTTGAAGAAAATGTATTTAGTTAAGGCTCGAAAATGGGTCGAAAGCTGAAGACAAAATTATAAAATGTCACTTTTACGAGATAACATAAGCATCTTTATTAGCGAAAAATAGAGACAATGTAAAACTCAGGAAGGGTTAGAAAGCACACTACGAGACACATAAAGTAAGATTAATATATATTCACTGAAACAAGGAGCCCGCAAAGGAAATAACTAAGTATGAAATTAGAAATGAAAATGAAGATAAAGGCCTACGAGAAGTTAGAAAAGGAAGATAATAACATGAATTTAGAAGAAACTAAGGAAGGGGAAAGAAGAATTCCAAAAGGCAGTGGAAATACAATTGCAAGATAAAGGTGAAGCCAAATAGTATGAAGCAAAGAAAACAGTCATGATTAGAGACATACATATACGATAAATGACCACATGAATCGGAAGGGAATTTCTTTCAAATGTGGACGAAGCGAGTATGAGACTAAAAAGCAGAGAGGCAAAAAGAATTCTTCACGAACTGGAAAGGGATGTAACACATCAAGGAGGCAGAAAAATAATCATCGCAAGACACTTTAATGCTATACGGCTGTATATAAAAAATTTTAAAAATTGCTACAGCCTTATTTCTACAAATGTAACATTTAAAATTATAACAACAATGCCATACTAGCATTACCTGTAAATAAATTTTACTCAAGACTTTTATCCCTGGCAACTTCTAGTATTTCCCATTCCTGATTTGGATTTCCGGTGTCTTGATATAACCCAACCACAGTTCCTGGTTCAAATACAGAAGCTGTAATATCCAACTGGTACAGTGCACCTGCATTAGTAATACGTCCATTGCCATTCAAAAACCACTCTTGCCAATATTCTTCGGTTACTTCGTTCAGAATAAGACTAATAGTAAACGGCGTTACAGCCAAAAACGCTCTAAACAATTTAAAGTTACTAACCCTTTTTCACATTTGCATTAAGCACATTACCCAAACTTTTGGTTATAAAGACGAAACAAGCCAGGCATGTGTCCACAATCAATTCTCCAAACCTGACTGTATGATCCCTGATAAAATGGGTGGTGTCAATAAAACTGAGTACTTAGATCCTCACACTCGAAGCACGAAGTACCTACTTGAGTATTAGTGAGTATCTACTGTTATATACCTGAGCATCTACTCTATGTACTTAGTATCAAATATTAGCATAATCTAGAAAAACTAGAAACATTTTGAGTTGATACTCGAGTGGATACTTCGTACTTCGAGTATGAGCATCTACTCAGTTTTATTCATACCAGCCAATGTTGAATTTGAATTGACGTCCCGTTAGTGGCATCCAAATACAAGTCTCCATATGTACTTTTAATTGCAACTTGATTTGCGGTGCAGAGAGCTTTTATTGTTACAACATTGCAGCAAATAACAGCTATGGCAAGACAGAGTGATACCCTATAATTTTAACGTTGGCAAAAAAAAAAAACTTTTTTTGTACTTACTCTTTGTATTGAAGATACATCTTCTTCAGTTGTGCTAAATGGTATTTACTAGGTGACTATACACAACATACTGACATCGTTAATATATATAATCTGCTTTTATATAACACGTAAAGAAAGACGCATTTTGAGATATTTTAAAAAAACAAATACCACTTAGAAAATAACCGGTTTTTTTTGGAAAAAACTGATATGAAACAAGATAATTATCTCGATTTACGTATTAATTTTATTTTTACCAATGATAACATATCATTGACAGCATCTTGCATGTACGTGATTTCTGGATTTTGTTCAAACAAAGTGCGCAACAAATCTATTTTTTGGTTTATGTTTTGCAACAAAGAAACAAAGTGATATCATCGCCTTATCGTTGAGATCTATGTCTATTTTTATATTTGTAAAAAATAAAATAATTGAGATATATATCTGTATACAAGTTGCAACACAAAAATTTGTAATTAAAGAGTATGTTGTCAATTTAGATTAGGAAAACCATTGTTATCCTTAATATAAATAGAGCTTCTGAGGCAACTCTATCAGTAAATATTTGGTAGAGATGAAACACTTTCAAAGGTAAGTGTGCATTCGTTAAAATTTTCCTTTTTCTTTCAGTTTTTTTTATATATACAGATCAGTTTCTATTTTTTTTCTTCTGTGGACTGTAATAGTGGCACAGGAGTGCTACTTGGATAGAACCTTCTACATCAAAGCCGCAGTCGGCGGTTTGAGCCTTGATGGTTCGTACCCAGATAATGTTAAAGTAATAGACTATAACGGCCAGGCACAACAGCGGTGGATAATTGAATGCGGTGATCAATCGGGGCATTTTTTCATAGTAAATGCCTATAATGGGTAACTCATTTGATAAATTTTGGTGTCAGTTATACATACATTAATTTTACACGAAGTACACTAGCCACAACAACTAAAATAAGTAGTGCATCAAATTTTTAACAGATATTTAAACAACAAACATTAATCAAATTCGTTTTAAAATTTACAGATTGGTACTCGACGTTCAAAACTTATATGTCGTTTTGAAAACGAAAAGTAGCTCTGTAAGTCAGCAATGGACACTCAATTGGAACAGCACGATTTTTAATGTAGGTTATAATCGGAATATGGATATTTATCAAGGCGATTTTGTTTCTGGAAACAATGTCTTAATTTATCAAAATAGTGGATTACCGCAGCAAATATGGAATCTGCAAGAAGTGTAATGAAACCACATCTAGAAATTTTGTATATTTAAAAAATATATCCAAGAAATCTAATAAAGAAAATTGCTGTAACTCTCCACTTTGACAAAACCTCGACTCGCCTTCGACAAAAACACCCACGACCCTTTGGCCCTCTTCATATGACAAGTCGGGTATCTAACTTCATATCGATCCGGTCCTGGATGAATTTTCCAGTCCTGAGGCGGCCGAGCGTGCACATTAGAACTATTGAAAGGATACAAATTGTCCTTTACTGGTTTGATCCTAAATCAAGCAAATCGTCGCTATTAAATTTGTCACAAAGATGATTTTTTATTAAACATCCAGCCACACAATGTGGAACAAGAAATTTTTTAAACTACAAATTTAGATCTGGATCTTTAATAAAAAACACTCTAACTCATTTAAGCTCATTACGCAGCCACATAGGGATTATAAATAGCAGGTCCCGGATTTTCCGTGTCTCTCATATACATAGTCAAGCCGTTTTTCGTGGCCATTATGCTCGCTCCTTCCGGGAAGCGTTCATCCTGAAGGAATTTGCCATATCTGCATCACACTGCTTTCAAAATACTGAAATATTCAAACAGTTAGAGCACCTTTTTTTACTAGGGTTGTGTAGGAGGTGGTCGAGGGCGCTAGGCACATTGTACATGATGTCAGGTGTCTTGAACAGCGCCGGAGCGAAATGATTTTTAATGGTAGTTTGATCCCGGGGCCCCGTAAACGTGTCGTAAGGCCCCCTTTTCGACACCTTTTTGTCTATAATGCTGTAATGAGGCACGTTGTACCGATTTGGGGCCTGTCGATAAGCAGGCTCCGTTGATTTGAATCTTGAGCTAAAGCCGCCCCATTCCAAAGTGGGGGTTTTGGAGAATTTCGTAGTGAGCTTCTTGATGGTATGTGAACCTGAAAGAATTGACTATGCAACATAATATACACCACTGTGAATTAAGTTGCAGCATGACTGACTCAGAAAAACTTGACAAATTACCAGGTGGTAACTTTTCATCCTTGATGGGTGAGTGGAATCTTTCCCCGGTCCCGAAACCCACGTTCTTTAAAACACTTGGTCCAGTTGGGAGCTCGCCGCGAATTTCGTAATTGCCTGGACCTCCAAGCGTTTTCCTGAAATTTCTGTCACACAGCATTTGGGGGTGCTTGTGGCCCAAATATTTTGAGAACTCCTCACTTTCGAATTTTGTCTTCCAGCTGGAAATTTGTTGCAGAGTGAGTTCAAGAAACATCGGGGAGGTGTAGAAACCTGGCTGCTTTGCTGGCGTAAGCGCATTGTGGGTGTTTGGGGTTGTACTGGCCGGGTCCGAGCGGATTGGTGGTGTTTATGGAAATCAACTCGGGGTGAATGCCGAGAGTGCGGAATCGTTTAACGGAGCTTCCGAAGCCGTAAATGGGTTTTTTTTCAGGCATGACTGATAGTAATGACACTATATGTAATGACAAACTGATGACAAATAAAAAGAAACGTCTAAATTTTTTATTTGACCTGTATTTTTTAAAATTGAACATCGAGACAAAAGTATGTTCAGAGCTAAAAAATGTCCCGGTATATATGTTTTTGAGATTTTTTCCGCATTAATAAATCGACTAATAAAATAAGAATTCGGAATTTCATCTGAGTCTGTGAAAATTAATAATTACAATTTGATTTCACAGAAGCAGCACCGGATTTAATATTTTAGAGGGCCCAAGCAAAATCCTTTCTCCCCTTTTCACCTTATTCCGTGTTTCCGAGATTAGAAACGTAAGAAGAAACCATATTTTAAATCTTCCAGTTTCAAATAATACGAGTACGCATTTTAAAAGTACTTACTAGTTTCTGAAAGATGATTTTTTTTTCAGATAGTAATTACTGATAAGTTAGTAATGTTCTGGAGATAAATAATATAAAAGAGTTCCACATAGAATTTTCACTTGTTTATGCATTAAAATTTTACATAATATCTTGTTTGCTTTGGCAACTGTTGTACATCAAAATTTTTAAAAATTGCTAACAATCTTATTTTTACAAATGTAACATTCAAAAATTATAACAACAAACAATACCATATAGCGTAAGAAATAAATAAATTTTACTTAAAACTTTTATCCCTAGTAATTTGTACAATTTCCCATTCCTGATTTAAATATCCGTTGTCTGGATATAACCCAACCAAACTTCCTGGTTCAAATTCAGAATGTATAATATGCAAGTTGTAGAGTATGGCCGCATTAGTAATTCTTCCATTACCATTCAGGAACCACTCTTGCCAAAACTCGTAAGTTCCATCGTCCAGAACAAGTGGAGGAGGTTTGGTACTGTTAAACTGTGGTATAGACAAAAAGGCTCTAAACAGTTCAAGGTTATTCACACTTTTTTTTATTTGCGTTAAGTACCTTACGTATACTGATAGTTAAAAAGACGAAACAAGCCAGGTGTGTGCCCACAATCAATTCTCCAGAGTTGACTGGGAGTTCCGTCAAAATTTTGTATCTGAATCGTTGTAGTGTTAGTGGCATCCACATACAAATCTCCAGATGTACTTTTAATAACGTAAGCAACTTCAGCACTGTAATCAGCATTTATTGTTGCGATATTGAAGCAAATAACAGCTGCAGCAAGACAGAGTGACACCCTAAAATTTCAACAGGATACAAAAAAAAACTTCTTTTTGTACTTACTTACTCTTTGTGGTGAAGATACATCTTCTCCAAATGTGTGGAACGGTATTTACTAAGTGACTATACACAACGTATTGACATCGTTAATATAATCTGCTTTTATAATAAGCGAGCAATGCGTAAACACAGATGCATTTTGAGATATTTTTAAAAAACAATTACCACTTAAAAAGAATAGAACTGGGTGTTACCTGAAAAAACTCACGTAAACCAAGATAATGATCCCAACGTACGTATTAATTTTATTTTTTCTAATGATAAGATCATTTGATTAAAAAAGAAAAAACACCTCGATCAAGCAAAATGAAGCCACAAACCTGTCGGTTTTTTTTGGTTTAGGGATCATAATTTTCAGCGTCAACAAAACGTCGCTCAAAATAACTGTTGCAGATGTTTCTTGATGCCTCATGGGGACGCAAAAATAAGTTGAGATTGACAGCTTATCGATGAGAGATCCATCTATATTTATATTTGTAAAGAATAAAATATTTTAGATATGATAATTTATCTGTACACAAATCAAAAATAATTTTTTTTAATGAAAAAGATCTTTGTCAAATTAGATTAGGAAAACCATTGTGATCCTTAATATAAATAGAGATTTTCAGGCAGCTCTATTAGTACATATCCAGCAGAGATGAAACAATTTAACAGGTAAGTGTACAAGAGTTAAAATTTTTCTTTTTCTTTCCGTTCTTTTTTTGAATAACAGATCGGTTTCAATTTTTTTTCTTCTGTGGACTGCAATAGTGGCACAGGAGTGCTACCTAGAGAGACCCTTCTACATCAAATCCATAATAGGAGGTTTGACCCTTGATGGTTTGAACCCAGATAATGTTAAAGTATCGGACTTTGGCGGCTATTCATACCAGCGGTGGATATTTGAATATGGTGATAAACCGGGGCATTTTTTCATAGTAAATGCGTATAATGGGTAATTCTGCATGTATTACATAATAGGGTCAATTCTGAATCAAACCTGTTAAAATTTAAAGGTTGTTAAAAAATAAACAGCCAATCAGATTTACGAATTTAACTCGAAATTTGCAATTTAACACCCTTTAAATTTAACAAGTTTGATTCAGAATTGTCCCTATAATGAAATTGTGTTGTCAGTTATACATATATTAATTTTAACTACTTTTGGCCTATGTGCTTGCTAGTACACGAAGTACACTAGCCACAACAACTAAAATGTGTATTAGTATTATATTATAACTATAAATATTAATCAAATTCGTTTTAAAATTTACAGATTGGTACTCGACGTTCAAAACTCTAACAGAGACCCTAATATCATTTTGAATACAAAAAGTAACTCTTTAAGTCAGCAGTGGATACTCAACTGGAACGGCACTATTCTTAATGTATACTATGGACGGAATATGGATATTTATCAGGGCGATTTTTTTCCTGGAAACATTGTTATAGTATATCCAGATAATGGATTAAAGCAGCAACAATGGACTCTGCATGAAGTGTCTTGAAACCACATCACACTGTAGACTGTTAACTGTTAACCATAAAAGACAAATAAATGTAGACTGTGTGAGGTAATTTGTTATATAATATAATCTACAATAGTATATAAATACTTTAAAGCAGACGACAATAATAAGGAAAAAGGTGTGAAATATTTAAAGCTTCTCGACTCTACTGACCTTTGTTAAACAAATTATGTGGGTTTCTCATCAAGTAATGATTATTTTATATTTTTCATAATCATTCTGAAATAGTGTAATCGGTATATTAGTACATTTTTCAAAGTAATAATAAAGATTTATTTGATAAATGTGTGATAAAACACGCTACATTTTTGGAATCAGCAAGTCGAGACCTACATCCCTGAATTTTTTGAGAATTTTTAAACAATTTTTTTAACACAGAAATTTTTCCAATTTCTTCAAATTTCGCCCCATTTTCTAAAACTCACTTCCGACCTCGTTTCTTCAGTAACTCCAACCGTTGTTCCAGAATCGGCCGTTGAAATAATGCTACATATGCAACACATTATACACAGGAGCTATTAAAGCGGATACCGTATAATAATAGGTATTATTACCTGTTTACAACCACAAATAAACCGTAAAATCTGTGTTAATTAAGACATTAACAGTAAAATGTTATTTTCTTATTTCAAAAATTAACTTTTAACTTATTTTTACGACATATAAATTTTATTTATATAAACAGGTCGTCAACAATGACCGAAACTGCACAACATATGTACATAATAGAAAATAAAAAAGTATAGAGCTGATAGTCCCTTGGAATGCATAGAATCCACTCGATCAAATTCAAAGAACCCAACAGTCTGAATCCATTGGAACTAACAACGCTCTTTTTCGCCATCCTGGAGTGAGACTGTACGAGGACTTCATGGTCGATGATATCGTGGTATTAGATATTGAAAGCACTTTTGACTTAATTTATGGTGTGTTGTGTGATAATGTCAATAGATATCTAGGACACCGATTTCTTGTAGGAAAATAATGAACCCGACTGTAGTTCCTGGAGTATGAATAAGGGATAAACTAAAAATTGATGAAAGGCTGAAGCGGAAGAATCGAACACGGGGAAATTTTAGGGTTTCATGGAATCGGTGCTCATTAATTCCGAGTATTATACCACATGAAGCATATTAAGTTTATTATGTTTAATCATGAATAATTGTTACGTTTAAATAAACTTTCTATATTAAGAACGAGATTGTAGTTTTTTTCTGAAGACACTCACCGTCAATTTAAACGTACAATTCAAGCATAAAAGGGTAATAACACACACTGCGATTAAAAATAACTTTAATTAAACCCGTATTTTGCCTTAAACATATCTTTCACCCTAACGACCGTTGAGGATTTCGTAAAATAATTAAAGACCTGAGGCAGCCTGTGGAGTTAGAAAATGCAAATTTCCCTTTTCTGTCTACCTGTCGTCACCTGAAGGCGACTTTATTCGACACATAATTTCCGGAACGACCGTTTTAAATTTAACAAAATTTATTTAGTGCAAGTTGATAACGTAATTTCATTTTTTTGTTGTATGAAGTACGATCGATCTAAATTACTTCTTGACAATTGCAACCTGTCCATTACGATTTCCAGCGAACTATGAACGATTAATGTGCAGACATCTCAAAAATAATCTCGTAGGAGTGCCCGATACTCTTATCCCAAGGCACGGAGTTTGTAGCTGTACAATAGTCGTCATAAATTTCATTTTTTACTATTTCAACAATTTCTTTTGCCCTCATTATTGTCACAGCCAATAATGACACCACTATTTCGTTTAGATTTCACTCTAGATATGGTTAAATTATTTTCTACAGGATTAACTTTTCCTGGCAAGTTCGATTTGCCATCAGATATTCGTTGTACTATATTTTTGGACCGCAATGGGTAATTTTATATTATTTCATATTTATTTATTCATGTACTTCAAGTGTACTTTAATATAAATTTTGTCTATTATATTTCTACCTAATAAGTAGTCGCCAACGCTCTTAGAAAAAAATACTTAATGCTACTTATTTTCTTAATTATTTAATAATGAAACATCTGCTACTTAGTTTTCTATGAAAACATTTGATAAATAACGAACAATCAATTTCAGTTTCACTTTTGTGTTGTTACAAACATCTGTAATTTGTGAGTTGCGTTCATTATAATCAATGGTGATAGGAATAAGACAGTTCTCCATTATATTAAATGAATAACTTCAGTCCGTTGTACGAAGGATTTAATAAAAGCTTTGTTCACTATTTATCAAAGGTTAAAATGTAGAACATGCAGAAACTGAACGGAAAAAATAAAACAAATGAAATGAAAGGAATGCTCCAATACATTTCATTCCGTTATAGTTTTATCTAACTTAAAATATTAGGTACAAACTGCGAAACATAAAAAAATTTAATGTTTTGTCGTATTTGTTTACACAGTGTAATTTAAATGAAATCAGCACCAACTCTGAGTTGAATATTTAATTTTGTGATCAATTAGTTCGCGCCGCTTCCTCATTAGTTCTTGAACTTTAACTAAGGTCATTGCTTCTATTCATTAGATTTCTTCAGGTTCTTTTCGCTGTTTCTTCATCTTTCTCTGGCCGTTTTTAGCCTGAGTTTTCCCCTCGTTCCGTTTTCTCCCTTTTTGCCGTTGCGAATGTGGCGAATTTTTACAACATCCGTCCGCAACAATTTCATCATTCCACCTCCTAACAAACTTATTATTAACTAACAGTCCATCTCGAATAACTTTAATTACGTTTCATACGGCTAGAAAGCTGCAAAATAATCGAACCATATGCTTCCTTTTCAAGCCTCCTAGAAATGAATTCAAATCTCGCAACGGGATTGCCGTCATTACCATCTCGCCGAATACATTTATGAATAAAATAAAACTAGCATAATCGAAGTGTAAAAGCTTTAATTGTGCGTATTGTTGGTTTAAACCGGCCAATATCGAATTGTGTATCGCGAACGCTGCAGATCTAATCTGCTAATGCTATGCTCGGGTTAGTAATGGTATAGGAAGGCGATTTTTGTCGGCGAGTGCTACCGCCCCTGTTACTCAACTTCCATTTTTAGCGCCTATTCTATTCCTTGTTACGAAATTTGCAAATTGACCGTAAAAGAACATACTTAGAGATGCACAATCTGATTTAATTATTCACGGTCTGTGCTTTGCAATTTTTAATTGATGCGACTAGAGCGTATTATTCATCAAGAGCCCCGCTCCTCCACTTTCATATAAAAGCAACCGGGAGCTCTTGGAACACCAGTGACGCACAGATCTCACACATTGGCACATCTTCACCAAGTAGGAGAAGTAAGACCATCCACGTATACTTCCCCCTCATCTCCTATACTCTGTTCCAGGTACCCCGATATGTTCAGATTCATTGTTCTTGCAACTTGCTTTGGTGAGTACGACACCAAACGCCGACCTTCCCCTAATCCCTCTGTTCCAGCCGCTCTTGCGTCAGCCGGAGTAGCAAAAAAGAAGATTGTAGTCCGTGAACCTGAAGCTCAAGGTACCCACCTCGGTGAAGTCAGTGTGGGTCTGGGGGGCGGACTGGGAGGAGGTCACTCCAAGACTTACGCCTCTGGAGCTGAGCTTACCAGTTTGGCCCACACCTCGGCCCTACAAGCCAAAGCAGCCGTCCAGGGGCAGAGCACCGCGGGAAGCCAGGCCGCCTTCGGTGCCAAGAGCAGCCTTGCCCAGGCCGCTTTAGGCGTAAGTACAACATCAAACAATCGAGTCGATTTGTCACTTGTTTCGTAGGCCGCCGCCACCGCCCAGGCCGCCCTCGTCGGCAAGCAAGTCATCGTCCAAGGCCTCGAGCAGCAGCTCCAGGACGCCGAGCACCAGCTCCAGGCTGAGGTGGCCCAGTACCAGCAAACCGAGCAGGCCGCCCAGGCCGCCCAGGAGGCCGCCCAGCAGTCCCAGCAGCAGGTCAACGCCCTGACCGCCGCCCTCGCCGCTTCGCAGGGCGGAGCGTCCCAGGCTGCCAAGGCCGCCGCTGAGGCTGCCGGAGCTGCTGCCGCGCAGCACGCCATGATTCAGGAAGCCAAACAGAGGGTTGCCCATTTGTCCGAACAACTCCACAACGCTCTTGCCGGTCTGCAGGAGACCGAAGTCGCTGCCCAGAAGGCTGCCGCTGCGGCTCACATCGCGCAGTCCAACGCTGCTGCTGCTGCCAACGCTGTCGCCAGCAGCGCAGCCCAGACCGAACAGTTCTCTGGACACGAATTCGTTGGAGGCATCGATGAAGGATACCACCACTAGGGACGAGGGGGTCACTCATTGTATATATCATTGTCATGTATGGAAGTCTTTGTAGTTGTGATTAATAAAATTTATTTAAAATAGGGGTTGTTTTTGTGCTGTTCCAACACGATTTAAAAAAAAATCAAGTTTGATATACATATACGGAAGGTTCATGTTGGTGAATCCAGGGTACAAAAGTAGTGAAAGTGAACATCGAATACTATACGAATGTTAAATAAAGACAAAAACTTGTTTTAAAGGACGGCCACATTTTACTTAAAAAATTGGTCGAAAGTTATTTCGACAGAACTTCCCTCGCTTCTCAAGTACAGTCCAGCAAATACTGCTTCTCTGAAAAATTATGAAAATTGATTTTGGCGAATTTTACTTTTTCGTGATAACCTCTATGGAGTAAAAACAATATAGAAGGTACTAGTCACAGTGTAACAGAAAAAAAAAGGTTTCACCTTCTTAAAAAAAGACAGTTGGAGGCCCCGAGAAGGTTTCACATTCTTAAAAAAAAAAAAAAAACGTTTGAGGCCCTCGAGAAGGTTTTACATTTTTAAAAAAGACTGTTGGGACCCCCGAGAACATTTCACATAACAAAATAGACATTTGGCACCCCCGAGAAGCTTTTACATTTTTAAATACGACAGTTGGGGCCCCCGAGAAGGTTTCACATTCTTAAATAAATACATTTGGGGCCCCCGAGAAGGTTTCACATACTTAAATAAATACATTTGAGGCCCCCGAGAAGATTGCACATAAAAAAAATTGACATTTGGAGCCCCCGAGAAGGTTTTACATTTTTACAAAAGATAGTAGGGATTTTTTGAAAAAACATTAGGTAGGAGTCCCCGAGGTTTAAAATTTTTAAATAAAGAAGGGTATATTCTCACTTTTTCAAGAAAATGGGGTAATTTCATCAATAAAAAATTTCTTATGACGTCATAAACATAGATAATACACAATGTGAGCGAAAAAGGAAAAAAAAACGAAAAGTCCAGTTTGACTTGTAACCCACTATACCACGACCGGGATGCCTTACGCTAATGGTAAACTGTTACTATACCTACCGTGTATTATGTTTTTGGTAAAATTTGGACGGTTTTAAGGAAAAACTCAAGGCGCATTCGTGCACCACACTTGTAGAACTACATTGGTGTGTAACAGTTAAATCAAATCAAGATAGAATTCTTTGAAATGACGTCATCAAATTGTTGGTGGGGATGATTAGTAAAATTTTGGTTAGCATTTAACCATCTACATGATATGTTTAATATACATACAAAATTTGACAACACTCGGTTCAGCAGTTTCAGAGATTGCGTGTCTTTCTACTTATTAATTTTCTAATTTTACACCTCTTGTAGGATTATTTAGAAAAATATGCTGTGCTAATGTTTCATTCAACGGTACATAGATTTTATTTCCAATCATTTTAGCAGACGTAAAAATGTACGTATTGGTCCACCACCGAATTTAAGTTCATTGTTCTACCACACATTAAATTTTAAGTTTACTAAGACGCTGTATCTGAAATATATAGATTATAGTACAGATTAGATTGTAACTAAAAATTAGGTTAATGCTACTTATAGTATAACCATACATTAGGTTTTCGCTATATATGTGCATATTTTTTTTGTCAATTTTGACATGAGCGCCGCACACATGCGTTGACTGGTTGAGAAGATGCCAGCTGTCATGAATATCACTGTGGAATCAGGTATGCCATCATAAATTTTTAAATAAACAAAAGAATCACAAATATTAATAATCACTACACCTACTGGAAGTCCAAATTGGAATTTGAAAACTATGTCTGCATTTCGTTTAAATTTTATAAACAGCAAAGCAATAATTTTTTAATTATAGACAGAAAGTTTATTTTACAAATATTAGTACAATAATAATGAAAAATAGTTATTCTAAAGGGATATATCTTTTTTTGTATTAGTATCATTCGTCTTCATAATCTTCCACAATCCACATCTGGTTTGGGGTTATTTCAGCACTTTGAGTTTCTACCACAACTCCAGCTCCTGGCACGAAGTTACTATCTTCAATGGCAAGGACAAGCATTGTAGCCGCATTTGTGACGCGCAGACTTGTGGATTCCACGGACCATTGTTGCCACAACGACTCATCTATGGAAGCCAGGATAACGTGGTGCGGAGAAACTCGCTCAATGTCAAGAACCTTCCTGCATCCAAAAATGAGAAAACAAACACGAGAACTTGTTTAAATTACCCTGTAACATTATGTACCAAGTAGAATAATCCCGGCTTGCTGCCACATTCAATTCTGAAATACTGCGTTGAATTTGATTCATAGTCAGTAGGTTGCACCACAATTCGACCGGAATCTAAAGGTTGTATAGTCAAAATATTGATCACATTTTGAAAGAACCACACCCTTTTCAATTTACAGGTGTCTGAACCAGTGACCATGTTGTCAGTGTTGGCACACAGAATGAACATAACGAGCTGCAGGAATAACCTGTAAGTTTTTCTGGTGAAAACGTGGAGAAAACAATAGGTGGTACGTACCCTTTACAGACGGTTTCTGACTTGAATCCCATTTTAGACTACAATGTTCGCTAGGTAGTGAAGTGAGTGAACAAGATGTACAGTTTTTGTACCTTATATATGTACCTAGAAAAAGGTTTGATCTAAATGTTGCAATAACTTGGCACTATTTTTTTAATCCATATACACACATTATTAATATATCCACCTTCTAACCCAATTTTGCAACAAACTATCAAAAACACCGACACGTTACATCACAGAAAATCATATATATAAACCCAATCGTTGTTTCATTTAGGAAGTTTAGTACTAAGTGTAAGCAAAATGACAGCTCCCGTTGTGCAAAGGTATAAACAAATTACTTTATTCATACTCTTTATTATTGTTCTTATGTTATAGTAAGGCTTGCATTTATTTATGCTTCTTGATTACTTTTGTGTCTACCCAAACTTGTTACGACAACAAGTGGTTTACAATAAGGTCCGTATCGACAGGTCTAGCTGTGGATGGTCGAGATCCCACCGCTATTATGCTAAAAAACTTCGATGGAAGTATCTACCAACAATGGAAATTTCAATTGGGTTCCAAATCAGGATCCTATAACGTAATGAACAGGGCTTCTGGGTAAACATACTACGAAGTAAAAATCTCTTATCTTAATTTTACTTATTTAGAAACGTACTAGACATAAATGCCGACGAAAAGTATGTTACCACAACTCCACTGGGGTGTCTCGATTGGTGGCAAATCTGGTGTGTCTTTGGAGATGGTCGTATTGCGTCTTGGCAGGGAGGTAATTTAAAGGCAGAGAATGACTACGTTTTCGATGGTGCTCGTTTGGGGATTTCAGGCGACAAAATAAACGCAACAATCACACAAGCGTTCGTCGTAGAAGAATATGTGTAGAACTCGAGGTTAACGTTTTAAGTAAAAACTTGACTTATGTTTAGGTTTAGTCGCAATTTTCAAAAATGTTTTGTTTTAACAAAATATAAGTCCTCTTTTGGATTCATTTCTTCATTGACAAAGCTTCCAATAAGAACGTTTCTCATACCGATCCCGTATCTACTTGTAGTGGACCCTGCACCCTACAATTCGCTACCCCTAGGACGTAACCTTAAAACCGCCACCGTAGAATTTTATTATCCTTTTTACTTTTTAATTTTTTTATTATATTAAGCCATTTAATCACCTATTCACCGAAACCCTCATATTTTTAATAACTGCCATTATTTTCTACATAGTAACTTTCTGTCAGTACTTATGCATTGTTAAAGATAGTTCTTTACGTTTGAGTCAACAAGATTTATTGATATTCGTCTTAAAAACAGATTAGGTATTATAACTGCAAGGGCTTACTTAGTTATTTTTTGATCCTCTGTTTTAGGGGACGAACTCATTCAAATCAAACTAATTTCTACATGCCATTCTTCCGATGTATCTCAATTGTGATGATTTTTTTTATTCGCCTTGAACCAAGGGGGCGAAGCTTAACTGCAAAATACTTATTTCTTTACAAGAAATTAAAAACATGTTTTTGAGTATCGTGTTCTTCAAAGAATACAATGCATATTAAGAAAAAAAGACAAAATATACACCCCGCCCACCCACCCCATCTCAGTTGGGATGATTTTTTTTATTCTTACAATCTTTAAACATGTTTAAATTGGTACATTTTTATAGGGAAATATGGATTTTGCAATTCGGCTCCGCCCCTAGTTCTGGTAACGAATGAAAACTTCATTACTATGTAGATCAGGACAGGCATGGGTGAGACTTAATCCGTGGCTTTAATTTTTTCTTAATATTCATAGTATTCTTTGAACAACACGATACTCAAAAGCATGTTTTTAATTTCTCGTAGAGAAACAAGGATTTGCAGTTAAACTCCGCCCTCTTTGCTCACGACGAATAAAAAAAATCATCACAATTGAGATAGGGCGGGTAGGAGGGACGACATTTGGCCTTTTTTTCTTAATTTGTGTAGATTATTTCGACAACAAAAATATGTCCAAAAAGATAAATTAAACTTCAACATCAACAGCAATCTCACTTGAGAATGACTACCTAGTGGATGGTGCTCAATTGAGGATTTCAAATAAAATAAATGCAACGTTCGTACAACAGTTCTTTGCAGAAGTGTTTGTCGAGGTCTAGAGTTTAATGTTATCTACACAGTGCGGAAAACCATATCTCTCTAAGCGAAAAAAGAAATTTTTAATTATAGACAGAAAGACGAAAATTTATTTTACACAAATTAGTAGGAGTATATAACAATGAAAAATAGTTATTCTCAAGGAATATATCTTTTTTGTACTCGTGTCATTTACTTATTCATATTCTGTCACAATCCACAACTGGTTTGGGGTTATTTCTTCACTTTGGGGTTCCACCACAACTGCGGCTCCTGCCACAAAGTTACTATCTTCGATGGCAAGAACAAACCTTGTGACTGCATTTGTGACGCGCCTGTTCTGGTAATCCACGAACCATTGTTGCCACAACGACTTATCATCTATCGAAGCCACGATAACGTGGTGCGGGGAATCTCTCTCAATGTCAAGAACCTGCCTACATACAAAAATGAGAAAACGAACACGAGAATTTTGTCAAATTACCCTGTAGAATAATCCAGGCCTACTGCCACACTCAATGCCGAAAAGCTGTGGTGAACTGGCGTCATAGTCAAAAGGTTCCACCACAATTTGACCGGAATCTGAAGGTTGTATGGTCAAAATATCTACTACATTTGGAAGAAAAACAGCCAGTTCATATTATACAGATGTCTGAACCTGTGACCATGTTGCCAGTGTTGGTACACTGAACGAATATAACGAGCTGCAGGGATAACCTGTAAGTTTTTCTGGTGAAAATTTTGAGAAAACACTAGTTAGTACGTACCCTTTACAGACGGTTTTTGACTTGAATCCCATTTCAGACTATAATGTTGAGTAGGTAATGAACTGAATGGATAAGATGTACAGTTTTTGTACCTTATATATGTACCTACAAAAAGGTTTGTTCTAAATGTTGCAATAACTTGGCACTATTTTTTTAATTACGAAAAACATTTACTAATCTATAAACACATATAATTTATATATCCACCTCTTGACACAATTTTGCAACAAAATCAAAAATATCGATACGTTACATCATGGAAAACATATATAAACCAAATCGTTGTTTCATTTAGGAAGTTTTGTACCAAGTGTAAGCAAAATGACAGCTCCCGTTGTGCAAAGGTATCAACAAATTACTTTATTCATACTCTTTATTATTGTTTTTTCGTTACAGCATTTGTTTATGCTTCTTGATTACTTTTGTGTCTACCCAAACTTGCTACGACAACAAGTGGTTCACAATAAGGTCCCTATCGACCGGTCTAGCTGTGGATGGTCGAGATCCCGCAGCTATTATGCTAAAAAATTTCGATGGAAGTATCTACCAACAATGGAAATTTGAAATCGGTTACGAATCAGGATCCTATTACGTAATGAACAGGGCTTCTGGGTAAAAATACTACTAGTAAAAATCTCTTATCTTGTTTTTACTTATTTAGAAACGTACTAGACATGCATGCTGACGAAAAGTATGTTACTACAACCCCACTGGATTGTCCGGGATACGACCAAATCTGGTGTGTCTTTGGAGATGGTCGTTTTGCGTATTGGCACGGAGGTAATTTAATGGCTGAGAATGACTACGTTGTCGATGGTGCTCGTTTGGGGATTTCAGCCAACATAAACGCAACAATCACTCAAGCGTTCGTCGTAGAAGAATATTTATGTGCAGAACTCGAATTTAATGTTTAAAAAAAAATTGCCTTATGTTTAGTTTTTATTTGCAATTTATCAAAATGTTTTGTTTTAACAAAATATAAGTCCTCTTTTGGATTCATTTCTTCATTAAGAAAGCTTAGAATAAGCTCCAAACACGTTTCTCATACCGACTTTTTACTTGCTTCTTTTTATCCGAGGGTTTTATTATTTATAGCTGTTAGGAAGGCCGTATTTTTAAATTTTAACCAGATAATGCGAATTTGAAAAAAAATTCAATAAAAAAAATCATTAAACACAGACTTTGTGCACCTTTAGTTCTTTTTCTTGTAGTTGGTAGCTCGCTAGGGGATTTTAGTTAGAGGATTGGTTGATAGGCAAGATGGCGAAAAGGTAGTGGGTGATTTGGTGGTGTGTGCGTAAGCATGGTGAAAAAACGCTGTAAGGTTAAATTAATTGGTTTGGTAGTTAATAAAAGGGAGGACGCTTTTGTTTCACGAAAATTAATCGTAACGCCGACTGCGCCACAGTTTCCCCAACACGCGCAGCTATTTCTTGTGGCTTTTTAATAGGGAAAAGTACCAATTTTCGACCAACGCAGACAAGTGTTGTAAATTTGTTTTATTATTTGTAAATTCACCGATCAGGTTAGGATTTTAATCGTTAACTGGTTCTAACACAATGTAACAGACATTTACTAGGAGATTTCATGAAACTCACTTAGTCAGAATAACACCCTTTGTTACACTCTAACACTTCTTAGTTCTTCGCACAAGGTTGTTAATAGTTCATTTACGACAATTAAATTAACAAAATTCATTATACTTGAACTGGCGGGGGGTTAAAATAATTTCTTTCCTTAGGCAGTTATCATCTTTATTAGCATGGATATCATCATTATATCACCGAGGTATTTCCTCGCAACGTTAAAGATTGATTACATCACCGAGACATTTCTTCGCAAAGTTAAAATTTAGATAAGCGAGACGCTTTTTCCTCGCAACGATGACTGGATATTTTTGTGTTTATTTATTATGTGTTTTGTTGGGGTAACCAGTTCACGTAAACTCTCAAAGTTTTAAGTAACCAATCACTTGAATCACGACATAATTTAACATAATGTTTGAATCTTTGATAAAGTGTGGCAAGTATTAATCTCATGTAAATTTGTTAGCTTTGCAATTTTTCACCTCATACAATATTTCTCTATCTCACAATTTTAACCTCAGTAATAGTCTTTGTGGTATAATTTAAACTGAGTGTAAGCTTTCATGCCCTGCCGTTTGTAACCTCACGTAA